ATGCACACACAGACATGCACACACAGACATGCACACAGACATGCACACACAGACATGCACACACAGACATGCACACAGACATGCACACACATTCCAGTTGCTGAGTCTTCTGTTCTGCTTGAATGTTGCAGGTCGATCCAGGTCCTCTCTGGTAACAAGGCGGTCTGTGAGGGAGACAAAGCATCTGGAACTGTTGGTTGTGGTGATGCACGATGTGTACAACTTTCATAAACAGGACACAGAGCGCTATATTCTCACCAATCTGAACATTGTGAGTGTCTTCAGGGCCCCTCAATGGAGGCTGACAGCCCAGGGCTAGGGTGGGGGTATGGGAATAGTGGCCTTGCACCTCACACTGAAGCAAATCTGCTGCCTTGCACCTACAATAAATAGACCTGAATCTTTGTACATCCAGCAGTTCCTCTCTACCTGTTGTTCTGGGATCTTTGTACCTTGCTGCTTGACCCGGTCCCTCTGTAGCTTTTACTTTGCGGATTGGGTACCCTGCAGCTCTCTGGCTGAGATAGTAGGAACTGCAGATGCTGGAGAATCTGAAATAACAAGGTGTAGAGCTGGATGAACACAGCAGGCCAAGCAGCATCAGAGGAGCAGGAAGGCTGACGTTTCGGGCCTAGACCCTTCTTCAGAAATGGGGGAGGGGAAGGGGGTTCTGAAATAAATAGGGAGAGAGGGGGAGGCGGATAGAAGATGGATAGAGGAGAAGATATGTGGAGAGGAGACAGACCGGTCAAAGAGGCGGGGATGGAGCCAGCAAAGGTGAGTGTAGGTGGGGAGGTAGGGAAGAGATAGGTCAGTCCAGGGAGGATTGGCAGGTCAAGGGGGCGGGATGAGGTTAGTAGGTAGGAGATGGGGGTGCGGCTTGAGGTGGGAGGAGGGGATAGGTGGGAGGAAGAACAGGTTAGGGAGGCGGGGACAAACTGGGCTGATTTTGGGATGCGGTAGCGGGAGGGGAGATTTTGAAGCTTGTGAAGTCCACATTGATACCATCGGGCTGCAGGGTTCCCAAACGGAATATGAGGTGCTGTTCCTGCAATGTTCGGGTGGCATTGTTGTGGCACTGCAGGAGGCCCAGGATGGACATGTCGTCTGAGGAATGGGAGGGGGAGTTGAAATGGTTCGCGACTGGGAGGTGCAATTGTTTAGTGCGAACCGAGCGTAGGTGTTCTGCAAAGCGGTCCCCAAACCTCCGCTTGGTTTCCCCGATGTAGAGGAGGCCACAACGGGAACAGCGGATACAGTATACCACATTAGCAGATGTGCAGGTGAACATCTGCTTGATGTGGAAAGTCTTCTTGGGGCCTGGGATGGGGGTGAGGGGGGAGGTGTAGGGGCAGGTGTAGCACTTCCTGCGGTTGCAGGGAAAAGTGCCTGGTGAGGTGGCTGATCCTGCTCCCGGGGTTGGTGGGGGGGAGGGAGAGTGGGAGTGGAGGGAGATGGGCCTTCTCACAGCGGGGCACTCCCCACCCGGAGGTGTGTGCAAGCTGGGAGCTCCGCTGTCTCTCCCTGATGGGCCCTGCCCTGCTCTGATGACTTTCATTCCTCATTGGTCTTTCGTGTGCTTCTGATTTACACAGGCCGCTGAGCTCCTACGAGACGCTTCCCTGGGTGCCCAACTACGTGTCCACCTAACGAAGATGGTTATCCTGACTCAGCCTGAGGTATAAGCCCTGTTCCACCCAGATTCCAATCGGCTCAGCCTGCAACAACCTGCATTTATGTGATACCTTTAACATAGTGACAATGTCCCAAGGCACTTCACAAGAGAAATTATCAAATAAAATTTTATTCAAATAACACAGGGGAGATACTAGAATAGGTGCCCAAAATCCTTGCTTAAATTTATAAGGTGAATCTTAAAAGAATAGGAAAGAGTGGGGAGATTTAGGCAGGGAATTACAGAGATTGAGATCCAGAAAGAACAGCAACCAGTGATGACGTGATTAACTGGGGATGCTCAAGTGGCCAGATATGGAGGAGCACAGAGATCTCAGAGGGTTGCGAGACTGGAGGAGATTACAGAGATTGGGAGTACTAAAATCATGTGTGGATTTTAAACAAGGATGAGATCAGGGAATGTCCTTTCTCTCCATTTCTCTGGTGCTAGTTTGCTTAAAGGCAGTGTGCGATGTTTGAAGAGCTGCTGATTAGTGATTTGATAAATGTCCTCAAATAAATCCTTTGAGTGTTAGGTAACAAAACTGCCCCTACATGGGTATGATGGTGTGGTGATTATAGGACTGGATTGGTTTCCCAGAGGCCTGGAGTAAATCTGCCCAAATCATCAGAGCAAAAGTAGGCCATTCAGTCCCTTGAGCTTGCTCCTCCACTCAGTGATGGTGCAATGCACAAGTGACCTACTATCCATCTCAATGCCATTTCCCCACACTATCCCTATATCTCTTAATGACATTGGTCTCCAGAAATCCATTAGTCTCTGTCTTGAATCTGCTCAATGACTGAGCTTCAAAGAAAATTTCAAAGATCTAAATGAAGAAATTCCTCCTCATCTCAGACTCAAACAGCCCATTCCTTATACAGAGATTATGTCCCCTGATTTTGGACTCTAGCCAGCAAATGGATCTTGTCTAGATCCACCCTGTAAGAACATTCCAAATTCAACAAGATCACCCCTCATTGTTTCAACTCTAGAGAATACAGACCCTGTTTTCTCAGTCATTCCTCCATTAGACAATCACACCATCCCAGGGATTAGGCTGATGGACCATTGTTGCACTCACTCTCTGGTAAGTAACTCCTTCCTTAATCAGGAAACCAAAACTGTACACTGTTCTCCAGGTGAGGTCTCAGCAAACAAAGCGGATCATAGCTTATTTCAATTTCATTTAATTCTGTCACTATAATGTTGGGATCACTAAAAATGATGGAGAAAAGACCAACCTTCGCTGTCTCAGACTTATCCTCAGTATTTCTTGGCAGGACAAGGTGACCAGCTCAGAGATCCAGAAATGTGCTAATTCAATGAGCGCATATATATTGCTTGGGCACATCTACATTGGTTTTGATGTGGAGGTGCCGGTGTTGGATGGGGTGGACAAAGTCAGATGTCACATGACACCAGGTTATAGTGAACTTCATCTGATGAAGGAACAGCACTGTGAAAGCGTGTGATTTTAAATAAACCTGTTGGATTATACGTGTTTTGACCACATCTGTTGGATGGATGACACCATTTAGCCAAAGACCTTCTGAATGGTGAATTGGCCACTGAGTCATGATCTCTTGGGTACAATAACAAGGACACCAGTCAGCAAAATATGAAGATGATGGACACTGACAGTTTGGAGACAGTCACTGATGATGTGACCTCTGTAGGCTGATTGTTTGGAAGGACATTAGAAGAGCCAAGCAGATACGAGAAACCCAGCTGGCTGAGCAGAGGTTCGAGAATAGGGGGAAGCTGTAGTAGCAGTATTAGTAGTAATGTCACTTGGCTAATTTTCAGGGGACATGAGTTTGAATCTGACTGTGGAAGATGGTAATGCTTGAATTCAATAATAATCTGAAATAAAAAGCTAACCTCATGGTGGCCATGTACCAAATATGGATTGTCATAAAAACCCAATGGCTTCACTATAGCCCTTTAGGGAGGGAAACCTGCCATCCTTAGCCTGTCTGGATGACTCCAGGCCCACAGCAATGTGGTTGACTCTAGGCAGTTAGGGATGGGTAGTGCTAGTGATACCCTCATCCTGCAAACAAATAGGAAAAAAAAACATAGGCCAGGGAATTGTGCACCTTCCCAGCCCACTGTCTTCCTCTGCAGCAACAGTATCAGAGACAGGTCATATCAGTGAGCCACGTATACTGCACCAGGCAATGCTCAACATAGAGCTAACTGGTCTGGTGCAAACCATCATCTAATGAGATCAATATCTGCCATCACTAACAGTGCCCAAGAATGAATTAAAATTCTTCTTGAGCAGCATCCACACTCAGTTTTGGGCAGCCTCACCAAAGGTACCTCAGAATTTGAATACATTTATTCCTTGATTCATTTTGGAATTGAGCTGCGTGAACTGTATGAGTCCCTGACTAACTAAAGGCTGAAGGACTGAGACCTATAGTGCTGGACGCTATGGTGAAAGGAAAGATGATGTGAATCAGTCGCTTGGCTTTTTGAAGCTTGTAGACAATCAAATGAAAGAAAGATTCAGGGAGGTGAGGAGTTGGATTGTTGGGATTCTAGGAAAGACAGAATGAAAGTTTGGGACAGGGCAGTGGTTCTTACTTTCTCCAGATTGGGGTGCATGGAGGAGGAAGAGTATCAAGAACAGGATATTGGCAGCCCTCTTGTACAGTTCAATGCAGATTGCAGGAGGGCATGCCAGGAACAGCACCAGGCATACGTGAAAATGAGGTGTCAACCTGGTGAAGCCACCAAACAGGACTATTTGTATGCCAAACAGCATAAGCAGCAAATGACAGACAGAACTCAGCAATCTCACAATCAACGGATCAGATCTAAGCTCTGCAGTCCTGCCACATTCAGTTGTGAATGGTGGTGGACAATTAAACAACTCACTGGAGGAGGAGGCTTCACAAATATCCCCATCCTCAATTACAGAAGAGCCTGGCACATCTGCGCAAAAATAAGGCTGAAGCATTGGCAGAAATCTTCAGCCAGATGTGCTATGTGGATGATCCATCTCAGCTTCCTCCAGTGGTTCCCAGCACCATAGATAGCTGACTTCAGCCGATTCGATTCACTCCACAATGGCAATGGACCTTGACTTGTGCTCTGGAACTCGCCGCTCCTCTAGCAAAGCTGTTCCAGTACAGTTACAACACTGGTATCTACCCGACAATGTGGAAAATTGCCCAAGTATGTCCTGTACATAAAAAGCAGGACAAATCCAACCGGCCAATTACCGTCCCATCAGTCTCCTCTCGATCATCAGTAAAGTGATGGAAGGTGTCATCAACAGCGCTATCAAGCAGCACCTGCTCAGAGATAACCTGCTCAGTGACTCCCAGTTTGGGTTCCGCCAGGGTCAATCAGCTCCTGGTCTCATTACAGCCTTGGTTCAACCATGGACAAAAGAGCTGAATTCCAGAGGTGAGGTGAGAGTGACAGCCCTTGACATCAAGGCTACATTCAACTGAGTGTGGTATCAAGGAGCCACTGACACTTACATCCATCAAGGAATTTAAAATCGAAGTCAGGACAAACCTCACCATGAAATCTCTCTCTTTCTATCCATAAAGTTCCCTGTTCTTCAGAATGAAAGGTTAAATTAGAGAGTGGTGTAGAGAGCCTTAGGGGAATATTCTATCAGGAAAAGCCTAAAATGCCTACTCATAGCCAACAGTGTTTCCTCTTCACAGCTGGGACTGGAGATCACTAGAAACCTCACCTCATCACTCATTGACTTGTGCAGATGGAGCCGAACAGTTAACCCAGAGAACGACTCCGAACCACTCCATGCTGACCTGGTCCTCTATGTTACCAGGTACTGAACAAATCACAGTGTTGGTGTTTTAATTACTGCTTGATCTTACATTCTAGAAGTGGGACCTTCAGTTACTGGGTCCTGTTTTCTTAATAACTTGAGGTGATTTTATTTTGTATAGGTGTTGGAGTTATTTTTAACTTGTCATAACCTGCATTAACTCAGAGGTAACGGCTTCCAAATGAGGGTCAGTAAGCACACAGCCCAGTGTCCATACTGAATCTCTTGCTGGCACCTTTAGAGGTCAAAATGCATGTGAATCAGGGCCCAGGGACATGTGTAAAACCCTAGTTACCATTTAAAGACCATTGCAAAGACTGTGACAGCTCTCACTATTTCTGTGACAATCATTTAAGGTATTAAATCCCACACAAGTAGTTGGGTTGTGTTAATGATGTATCTGGGAAGAGTGTGCTGATAATTGCAACTGGTAGCATCCTGGAGAGAGAAACAGGGTTAACCTTTCAGTATGTCTCTTCTTCAGAATGAGAGGAAGAAGAGGATGCTTTCTGTTTAGACCTTTGGAACATTTCTCTCTGCTGCCCTGGTGCCTACAGCTATAAACATTGCAGTTCAACCAATCAGAAGGCGGTCGTTAGGCAGAATTTCCTTCACTCAAAAATCTTTCAAGGTTACTCAGGCTTGAATTTTCCTCTTAACAGTTTCAAACAGCCACATTGTACTGGATAGCTCAAAATACTCAGTATTTGGTTTTCAAGTTGCAAAACTCTCCTGGAACTTCAGTAACAGTGCAGTCTGATTTACATTTCAATTTATAGTCCCTAACAAAGAAAAATGTGATCTCTTGCATACCTCCACCCTTAAAGAAATGAAAGACATTTTCAAATGCATGTCATCACCAGTTGAACATAACACATATATAAAACAACGAAAGAAAATTACATTTATTCACTCTTACTCATTCCTTATGCAGGATTTAAACAATTTCTTGTGACTTACCTCCCAAATAGTCATAAGAATTATGCAGCACAGAAACAGATCCTTTGGTCCAACTCATTCGTGTTGACCAGACATCCCAATCTGATTTAGTCCCATTTGCCAGCATTTGGCCCATATTCCTCTAATCCCTTCCTATCCATGTACCCATCCAGATGCCTTTTAAATGTTGTAATTGCACCAGCATCCACCACTTCCTCTGGCAGCTTATTCCATACACGCATGTGAAAATGTTACCCCTCAGGTCCTTTTTAAATCTTTCCCCTCTCACCATAAACCTATGTCCTCCTGTTTTGGACTCACCCACCCTCGGAAAAAAGACCTTGACTATTCACCCCATGAATAGGGCAATGCTCCTCCGAATTTTATAAACTTCTATAAGGTCTCTCCTCAGCCTCCAATAGCCCAAGGAAAGAGCCCCAGCTATTCAGCCTCTCCCTATACCTCAAACCCTCCAGTCCCAGAAACATCCTTGTAAATCTTTTCTGCACCTTCTCAAGTTTAACAAATCTTTTCTACAGGAGGGTGAATTGTACACAGTTTTCTAAAAGTGGCCTCCCCAATGTCAACGTGACATCCTAATTCCTATACTCAATGTTTTGACCAATGAAGGCAAGTGTGCCAAATGCCTTCTTCACCACCCTGTCTATCTGCAACTCTACTTTCAAGGAACTGTGCACCTACACCTCTAGGACTCTTTGTTTGGCAACATCTCCTAGGGCCCAACCATTAACTGTGTACACCCTATTTCACACAATTATATTCTTGATAATGTGGCAGCCAGGAAAGTGATCAATTTTTACATTGAATGGTTGAATCAATAAACTCCATCAGAACAATATTGTATTTTGAGTTTTAAATTTCTGTACAAAAACCAGCAGATTAGGGTCAGTTATTAGTGTCTCTTTGAAACCATTTTGGACATAGACTTCAAAATGTTAAAAAGCCAATAATAATCCCAAAGAAGTAGTGTACTTTTTCTGATAGTGGTTTAATTTCTTATAAAAGTACCCCACTGACTTCTTTATTCGCAATTCATCAAATCACAATAAGAGTGCACATACCCTTAAGTCACTAACAATGGGTTGGATAATGTACCGGTAGGGTTGAAGTGTGGTTGGGGTTGTGGGTTTGGCTGGAGTTAGGATTGTGTTGCAATTTGGTTTAGGGTTGGGGTCAGATTGGTTAAATTTGGATTTTTTTTGTTGGCTTTGAGTATGACTTGTGTTGACTGAAGGTTAGATTTGAATTTGGATTGGGTTTGCGGTTAGCTTTCGCGTTGTAATTCAGTTTATGGTTGAGATTGGAGTTTGGGCTTGGAGGTGAAATTTGGGGTTCGGACGTCTGTATTGGCACACGTACAAGTTCATATTCACTCCATTTTGTGTCTTTTTTAAGGTTTGACCTAGAATCTGGCAATGGGAATAAGATGGTTCGTGGTGTGACTCAGCTGGGGGGATTGTGCAGCCGGTCATGGAGCTGCGTCATAACTGAGGACACAGGGTTCAATCTCGGCATCACCATGGCTCATGAGATTGGTCACAGGTGAGCTCTGCGGGCACAAGGTCACCACGCCAAGCCCAGAGAAACAAAACGACTATTTCAATTCAGTGAGGCACAAGGCAATTTAGAGAACATAAGAACATAAGAACTAGAAGCAGGAGTAGGCCGTCTGGCCCTTCGAGCCTGCTCCGCCATTCAGTAAGATCATGGCTGATCTTTTCACGGACTCAGATCCACTTACCCGCGTTCTCACCGTATCCCTTAATTCCTTTATTGTTCAAAAAAAATCTACCTTTTTTTAAAAAACGTTTACTGAAGTAGCGTCAACTACTTCACTGGGCAAGGAATTCCATAGATTAACAACCCTCTGGGTGAAGAAGTTCCTTCTCAATTCAGTCCTAAATCTGCTCCCTCTAATCTTGAGGCTATGCCCTCTTGTCCTAGCTTCACCTGCCAGTGGAAACATCCTCTCTACTTCTATCTTATCTATTCCCTTCATAATTTTATATGTTTCTATAAGATCCCCCCTCAATCTTTGAATTCCAATGAATATAATCCCAATCTACTCAGTCTCTCCTCATAAGCCAACCCCTCAACTCCGGAATCAACCTAGTGAACCTCCTTTGCACGCCCTCCAGTGCCAATACATCTTTTCTCAAGTAAGGAGACCAAAACTGCACACAGTACTCCAGGTGTGGCCTCACCAGCACCTTGTACAGCTGCAACATAACCTCTCTGCTTTTAATTTCAATCCCTTTAGCAATGAAGGACAAAATTCCATTTGCCTTCCTAATCACTTGTTGTACCTGCAGACCTACCTTCTGTGATTCATGCACAAGGACACCCAGGTCCCTCTGCATGGCAGCATGCTGCAACTTTTTACCATTCAAGTAATAATCCTTTTTACTATTACTCCTACCAAAATGTATGACTTCACATTTATTTACATTGCCAGACCTTTGCCCACTCACTCAATGTATCTATGTTCCTCTGCAAAGTTTCACAGTCCTCTGCACACTTTGCTCTGCCGCTCATCTTAGTGTCATCTGCAAACTTTGACACCCTACACGTGGTCCCCAACTCCAAATCATCTATATAAATTGTAAATAATTGCGGTCCCAACACCGATCCCTGAGGCACACCACTAGTCACTGACTGCCAGCTAGAATAGCACTCATTTATCCCCACTCTTTGCTTCCTGTTAGTCAACCAATCCTCTATCCATACTAATACTTTACCGTTAATGCCATGCATCCTTATCTTATGCAGTAGCCTCTTGTGCGGCACCTTGTCGAAGGCCTTTTGGAAATCGAGGTACACCACATCCACTGGGTCCCCATTGTCCACCTCGCTCGTAATGTCTTCATAGAATTCCAAAAGATTTGTCAAGCATGACCTGCCCTTCATGAACCCATGCTGCGTCTGCCCAACGGGACAATTTCTATCAAGATGCCTTGCTATTTCTTCCTTGATAATAGACTCAAGCATCTTCCCCACTACAGAGGTTAAACTAACCGGTCTATAATTCCCCATCTTTTGTCTACTTCGCTTTTTAAACAGTGGCATCACATTTGCTGTTTTCCAATCTGCTGGGACTGCCCCAGAGTCCCGCGAATTTTGGAAAATTACCACCAGTGCACCTGCTATTTCTCCCGCCATCTCTTTTAGTACCCTGGGATGCATTCCATCAGGGCCAGGAGACTTATCAATCCTTAGCTCCATTAGCTTGCCCAACACTACCTCTTCCGTAATAATGATTGTTTCCAGGTCCTCACCTACCTTTGTCTCTTTGTCTATTGCTGGCATGTTATTAGTGTCCTCCACTGTGAAGACCGATACAAAATACCTGTTCAATGCCTCGGCCATTTCATCATATCCCATAACTAAATTCCCCTTCTCATCCTCTAAAGGGCCAACGTTTACTTTAGCCACTCTTTTTCATTTTATATATTTATAGAAACTTTTGCTATCTGTCTTTATATTCTGTTCTGGCTTTTCTCATGTTCTATCTTACTTTTCTTTATAGCTCTTTTTGTGGCTTTCTGTTGACCTTTAAAGTTTTCCCAATCTTTTAGTTTCATGCTGTTTTTTGGCCACTTTGTATGCCTTCTCTTTCAATTTGATAGCCTCCCTTATTTCTTTAGACACCCATGGCAGATTACCCCTTTTCTTACAGTCCTTCCTTTTCATTGGAATATACTTTTGCTGAGCACTTTGAAAAATTGCTTTGAAAGTCCTCCACTGCTCGTCAACTGTGCCACCATAAAATCTTTGTTTCCAGTTTACTTTAGCCAAGTCCTGCCTCATTCTATTGTAGTTCCCCTTGTTCAAGCACAGGACCCTGGTATTGGATTTTATCTTCACACTTTCCATCTGTATTCTAAATTCAACCATACTGTGATCACTCCTTCCGAGAGGATCCCTAACTATGAGGTCATTAATTATTCCTGTCTCATTACACAGGACCAGGTCTAGGATAGCTTGCTCCCGCGTTGGTTCCATTACATACTGTTCAAGAAAACTATCACGGATACACTCAACGAACTCCTCCTCAAGGCTACCCTGACCAAGCTGGTTCGACCAATCTACATGTAGATTAAAATCCCCCATGATAATTGCTGTACCATTTTTACAGGCATTAGTTATTTCTTTGTTTATTGCCCGCCCCAATGTGATGTTATTATTTGGTGGCCTATAGACTACGCCCATCAGTGACTTTTTCCTCTTAGAATTTCTAATTTCCACCCAAATGGATTCAACCTCGTTCTCCATAGAACCTATATCATCTCTCAGCACCGTCCTGATGGCGTCCTTGAATATCAGAGCTACACCACCTCCCTTACCTTGCTGTCTGTCCTTCCGAATAGTCCGGTACCCTTGGATATTTAACTCCCAGTCGTGACCATCCTGTAACCATGTCTCCGTAATGGCTACCAAATCATATTCATTCGCAATGATTCGTGCCGTTAACTCATCAACCTTGTTACGAATGCTACGAGCATTCAGGTAAAGTGCCTTTATGTTAGCTTTTTTACCCTCATGATTTCCAACATCTCTAATAATATCTCCTGAGTTATCCTTCCTTTTTGCTTCTTTCATAGTCTGCCTTGAACTTAAACCCTCCTGCACACATGCTGACCTGCTGCTTACCTTTTTATTTACTATCATACTCCCTGTCGTTTTCCCTTTCCCTTCCCCCCAACTCACTAGTTTAAAGTCCTCGTGACCACCCTATTTATCCTTTTCGCAAGAACACTGGTTCCAGATCGGTTCAGGTGGAGACCGTCCCATTGGTACAGATCCCTCCGGTTCCAAAACTGATGCCAATGCCCCATGAAATGGAACCCCTCTTTCCCACACCACTCCCTTAGCCACATGTTTACTTCCCTAATTTTCTTATCCCTAAACCAATTTGCACGTGGCTCGGGCAATAATCCGGAGATTATGACCCTCGAGGACCTGTTCCTTAATTTCGTTCCTCGTGCTTGATAATCCCCAAACAGGTCCTCCATCCTAGCCTTGCCTATGTTGTTAGTCCCAACGTGGATCACAACAACTGGATCCTCCCCCTCCCGCTCCAATTTCCTTTCAAGCCGGTCAGAGATGTCCTGCACCCTGGCACCGGGCAGGCAGCACACCATGCGGGACTCCCGATCCGGCTTGCAAAGGATACTATCTATCCCTCTAACTATAGAATCTCCTATAACTACCACTTGTCTTTTTGCTCCCCCCTCTTGAATGGCCTTCTGCACCATGGTGCCGTCGTGAGCTGGCTCATCCTCCCCACAGCCCTTTTCCTCATCCACACAGGGAGCAAGTATCTCGTACCTGTTGGATAAGGTCAAAAGCTGAGGCTCCTCCACTCCTGAACTCAGGATCCCCCTACCTGCCTCACTTGCAGTCACAGCCTGTTGTCCCTGATCACTAACTGAATTTGAATTACTTAATCTACCAGGTGTGACTGCCTCCTGAAACAAAGCGTCCAGGTAACTCTCCCCCTCCCGGATGTGCCGCAGTGTTTGAAGCTCAGATTCCAGATCTTCAACTCTGAGCCGGAGTTTTTCCAGCAACCAACACTTGCTGCAGATGTGGTCACTGCCGTTCACAATGGGATCAGCCAGCTCTCACATCATACAGCTACAGCACATCACCTGCCCAGCCATCTCTACTTAGTTAATTACTTTATTACTTTATCTCAATTTATGAGTTAAATACTTTCTAATACTTCTCTGCTATGGTCCTTTCAAATAATCAATTAATAGATAAATAAAAAAAGAAAGTAAATTTTTAACCAATTACACAATACAGAAGAAATAGAAAAAGTATAAAAACCTTACCTTACCAACACACCACAGAGTCCTTTTTTTTGGTTAGAGGAGGAGGGCGGGTGGGAGACACTACACGTTTAGTGTCTCGGGTTCAGCCGTTGCCCAAATATATTCCCGGCAGCCCCCTGGTCCTCGCTTGATTCTATGAAAAAAAGAATATGCGGTTAGAGTAATGGGATACAGGGATGGAAAAACTAGGGGAGCAAATAGAATTTGAGAGATGGTAAGGTGAGTGGGATATAGACAACAGAGTGTCTGTCCAAAATAGAGACATTGGAAGGGCATTAGAAATACCATGCGACAGAGAGTGAAGTATAGAGACACCGGGGGCTGAGAATGACAGACAGATGCACTAGGACAGTGTGTGTGTGGGCGGTGGTGGGGGAGCGTGGAGAGCCACTGGGAGAAAGAGTGAGAGATAGATCAATGTGTTAGGGGTGGTAAGAGTGTGGGAGATAGCGACACTGGATGAGAGAGAGTGGGAAATAAAGACACTACGGAGAGAGACAGAGGGAGAGAGATGACTAATGTTAAGATACAGTCAATGAAATTGTAAGTATAGGGTGAAACTATGGAGAAAGACAGGTTCTTTGAAGAGGAGGATTCCATCTACAATGAGAGTCTGTAGCTGGAGCGAGAACTTATCTCTCTGTTCTCATAGAGTCTGTTCCTCATGGAGTGTTACTTTGAGGAAGGTGGTGTGAAGGTTTCAGGGTGATTACAGGGTGGTCACTGACCAAAAATCATACACTAAAAATATTACCTGGACTTTTCTTTGGTCTCAGGTGCTGCCTGACCTGCTGAGATTTTCCAGAATTTTACTGTTCTCAGTCATTTTATGTTTGGGATGAGGTAAGATAACAGCAGTCTCTGCCTTAGTGATGCAAGTTTTCTTCATATATTTTTGGTAGTTTCGGCATCGGTCACGATGGGACTGGAAACAACTGTGTAGACAAAACACACATCATGGCAGCAGAGGGTGGCTACAACAGCATTGATCTGACCTGGTCTGAGTGCAGTCGGGAGCAGTTTGTAAAGTTCCTCAGGTAAAGCTTTCCTCGCCCCGTTGCCCAGCTCTGCCTTTTCTCCAGCACATGTTGTAAGACTGATAGTGCCATGCCGCAACACACCAAATGTGGATCAGTATCATCCACAAACTTGGAAATATTACAATTACCCCATACATCCAAATCATCGATATAGATTGTTAAAAGCTGGAGGTCCAAATGTTCATCCTTGTGATAGCTACTGGTCACATCCTGCCGTCCTGAGATGAGATGTTAAACTTGGGCCCCAAGTACCCTCTCAGGTGAATGTTAAAAGTGCCATGGCATCATTTGAAGAAATGCAGAGGGTTTTATTCCTCAATGAAGATTGTAAACAAAAAAATGCTTAGGTGGTCATTCCTGTTTGTGGGGGGTGCTGTGCACAAATTGGCCTCTATGTTTACCGCATTAGAACAGTGATGCACTTCAAAATTATATAAAATTAGCTGTCAAGCATGTTGAGGCCTGTGGCTCTGAAAGTTGCTTTATAAATGCTAGTTATTTATTTGAGTGCTGCACCTTAAGCACATCAATACGTAAATTGATTTCCAGTTAATACTAATTGATTTCTTGTGTTTATTATGACAGCACCAGCCAAGCAACTTGCTTGAATGATCTGCCAGCAACAGAGTCCGATCTTTCTGGTCAGAAACCAGGCCTGTTCTATGGGGTAGATGACCAATGCAAGATAGCCTTTGGAGACAAGGCATCTGCCTGCACTTTCAGCAGACACGACATTGTAGGTGGTGCTCGAAACTGACCAATGCCTTGCACTCTGCTTTAGGCTAAATCGGAAATCCTATGTAATAGAATCACAAAGCACAGAAGGAGTCCGTTGTGTCTGAGCTGGCTCTTTGGAAGACCTATCCAATTACCTTATTTACCAATGTAAAAGTTGCATTTTTGAGTCCAAGTTGTTGACAGAAGTACTTTCCAGGGCTGTACATCCATGCCCATTCTTGGGTACTGCCCTTATGACGCAGTTTGGTGGTTGCTGACCATGGTTCTGAATTCAGCATTCTACAGCTGTCCCAGATTAACAATTTCTAATGGTTTAAATGAGAAAAATGCAATTGTGAAAATGACTCATTAGACTGTTCCCACTAACTCTGCTTCCAAAACTAGCATGAAATTTAAGAAAAACTAAAATTTGCAGACCAATGTTGAGTAGAGTTATATCTGAGATCAACTGACACCCCAGTATAGATGGTCATCCCGCTAACTCATTTATTCGTCATATACCTGTGAACGTCAGCTTTTCAAGTACTTTTTCAATCCCCTTTTTTCGATCTTTCAGGTGGTGTATTCCAGATCACAACAACCTATTGAGTAAAAAAGAATAATTTCTCTCAGATAACAGAAGAGAGAGGAGTAGGGGGTGGGGGGAATGCGGAGGACTATAGGTGGGCTTGCATCAATTTTCCAAATCTCAGTCCGAATCCTGTCTCCAACCGCAGCTCAGTCTCTGCCATACTCTGTGGACTGACTCAAATCTCTCAAACACAGCCCCGTCCTGTCTCCGTTTGAACTGGGCAAGTGCTGCTCACTGAACATGCTTATACCTTGTAACAGTCCTGCTGCTATTGAAGAGGGGTCTGTGAGAAATTCACATTGATCTCATATTTTCTCTGTTTTTTAACTCCGTTATAATTCACACTGTCAGTAAATAATGGGTTCTTTTGTTTCTGCGCAGGATGTGTGCAATGTTCTATCATGTCACACAGATACAGCAGATCCGACCATGTGCACCCGTTTGTATATTCCCCTCCTGGATGGCACAGAGTGCGGCACCAACAAGGTACAATTGATTGTAATAACCATTGTAAACACCAGGCTGGAATCCTGTCAACAGGCAGTGAAAGGGGCTAGTGGATAATCTTCATCTCTCTGAGGCAGAAAATCAGGTGTTTGATGCCCATTCTGAAATCAATAGCCCCTAATCCTGGCTGACATTCCTAACGGAGCACTTCACCGTCAGAGCGTCAATACCCAGGGAGCGCCGCACTGTCTGAAGGTCAGTGCTGAGGGAGTGCCACACTGTCGGAGGGTCAGTACTGAGAGAGTGCCACACAGTCAGAGGGTCAGTGCTGAGGGAGCGCTGCACTGTTGGAGGGTCAGTGCTGAGGGAGCGCCGCACTGTCAGAGGGTCAGTGCTGAGGAAGTGCTGCACTATGAGAGGGTCAGTGCAGAGGGAGCGCCGCACTGTCGGAGGGTCAGTGCTGAGGGAGTGCCGCACTGTTGGAAGTTAGTGCTGAGGGAGTGCCACACTGTCGGAGGGTCAGTACTATGGGAGCGCCACACTGTCGGAGGGTCAGTGCTGAAGGAGTGCTGCACTGTCGGAGGGTCAGTGCTGAGGGAGAGCTGCAGTGTCGGTGGTTCAGTGCTGATGGAGCGTCGCACTGTCGGAGGGTCAGTGTTGAGGGAGAGCCGCACTGTCGGAGGTTCAGTGCTGAGGGAGCGTCACACTGTCGGAGGTTCAGTGCTGAGGGAGCGTCGCACTGTTGGAGGGTCAGTGCAGTGCTGAGGAAGTGCTGCACTATGAGAGGGTCAGTGCAGAGGGAGCACCGCACTGTTGGAGGGTCAGTGCTGCCTTTTTGGATGTGCTGGTTTGGATGAGACATTTAATCAAGTCCTCATCTGTCTTCTCAGATATACATAAGTGATCTAGTGATTCTGTGTGAAGCCAGGCAGCTGAGTTCTGTCAGGTATCATGATCAGTGTTAATCCCTCAGTCAACATCAGTAAAGAAATATATTATCACTTTGATGTGTGTGCGATCTTACTGTCTGTAAATTGGCTTGTGCATTTCCTCTGGAATCACAGACACAGCACATCAACAGCAATTCATAACCCTGAGTCATGAAAAGTGCTAAAGAAATGTACGTTTTCCCCTGTCTTTGTGTAACTAATTCGTTGAATGGGAAACACTTACAGCTAATCTTATTTCCATCACCAGTGGTGTTTGAAAAGGAGCTGCACATCTCTTGGGGACCTGGATGTGATTGGAGTTGTTCATGGATCCTGGTCTAGTTGGAGTCCGTTCAGCAGCTGTTCACGAAGCTGTGGTGGAGGGGTTATTCTCCGACACAGATACTGTAACAATCCAAGGTAAATGGACAGTTCCTGAGAGCAAAATATGGGGCCGGAAACTTTCCGTTTGGCCCCTTGAACCCCATTTCCACCTTCCAATGAAACTGTGACTGACATGTATCAGCTTTGCTCTGTTTCCCTTGATACTGAACAAAATCTATCAGCCTCAGTTTGAACTACTCCAATGATCCCTGTATCTGGAATTCCCTCCTTTAACCTCTTCACCTCTATCTTTAATCCTCTAAAACATAGCTCAGTGATCTCACCTAAATTCTTTCATCTGGCACCATGTCAACTTTTGTTTTTTACATTCTTACAAAGAATTTTGGGGCATCTTAGTACATGAAACGTGCCAAATAAATGGGTTTTGTTGACGGATTGGAGACTGCTGGCCTGCGTGTAGCCCTCTCTGGGCTACTCACTTTATGTGACTGGTTAGCTTGTTTGGTTGGAAGGCTGGTTTGCCAATGGTGTGGGTTCAGTTCCTGCACTGGCTGAGGTTACAACGAAATGATTTTCTTTCTCAACCTCTCCCCTCGCCTGAGGCTTGGTGACCCTCAGGTTAAACCACCACCAGTCATCTCTCTCAAATGAGAGAGCAGCCCTATGGTCTAATAAGATTGTGGTGATTTTGCATTTTATCACCAGACAACTTGACCAACGTTTTGATTATAACGTTTTATTTGGATTTTCTAGACCTGCTTTCGGTGGCCGTAAATGCGAGGGAGTGGATATGGAGGCCATCATGTGCAACACACAGGTACGGAGGATTGTGTCAGAATCAGAAAGACAGGCTCCTGGAAGGTAACACACAGAATACACGCTCAGCTTACATTCAAAAGGGCATCCAATCAGGTACAGCATGGGCAGATGGACATAAGCCTAACTTTAACTTGAGAGGACCAGTTCATAAAATTGGGAAGATTTGAAGTTGTAAAGGCAGCAGATACACATGAACATCACCACGTGTGATAAAGGCAAAATCCTGGAAACCAGAAACAAACACAGAGAATTGCTGGGGAAACTCAACAGGTCTATCAGCAGCTGGGGACAGAGAAATAGAGTTAGCATTTCAGGTCATAGAAACTAGAAAATAGGAGTAGAAATAGGCCATTCAACCCTTCAAGCCTGCTCTACCATCCCATTTGAGCATGGCTGATCATCCAACTCAGACCCCTGTTCCTGCTTTTTGCCCATATCTTTGATCCTTTTAGCCTTAAGAACTATATCTAATCCCTTCTTGAACATATTTAATGTTTTGGCGTCAACCACTTTCTGTGGCAGAGAATTCCACAGGCTGCTATTCTGCGTGACGACATTCCTCCTCAGCTCAGCCCTAAATGGCCTACTCCTTATCTTTAGACTGTTATTGCTGGTTCTGGACTTCCCCCACAATTAGGAACATCTTTCCTGTGTTTACCCTGTTTAGTCCTGTTGGAATTTTATAGCTTTCTATGAGAACCCCCTCAACCTTCCAAACCCCAGTGAATACAGTCCTTACCCAGTATGACTCCTCTTCAGAACTGAACACTGTCACAGCCTGTAAATTCCCCTCCAAGTTACTCACCATCCTGACTTGAAAATATATCGCCATTCCTTCACTGTTGCTTGGTCAAAATCCTTGAACGTCCCCCCTAGTAATGGGTGTCCATGCACAACATGGACTGCAGCAGTTCATCACCACCTTCTCCAGAGTAACTAGTGATCAGCAATAAATGCTGACCTCATCAATGATGCTCACATCCCGTAAATGAAAATAAGTAACATTCTGAAGGAAATTGATAAGTAGATCTGTGGAATTTGTTCCCTGTGGAAAGGGGATCAAATCACAGGAATACTGAGAGAGTTTGGAGTAAAAGAGGAATTCAGGGAAAGGGTGATCAAGTTGAAGAATAAATTCCCAGGAAGTTTTTCACACAAAGGGTGGTGAGTGCCTGGAATGCACTGCCAGAGGAGGTGGCGGAGGCAGACACAATAGCAACATTCAAGAAGCACCTGGACAAGTACATGAACAGGAAGGGAATATAGGGACAAGGGTTCTATAAGTGAAGACAGTTTTAGTTTGGAATGGCAAAATGTGTCGTCACAGGCTTGGAGGGCCGAAGGGCCTGTTTTTGTGCTGTATTGTTCTTTGTTCTGAGAGTGGATTTAAGCAGAGAATGAAAATAGAGTCAAATAGATGTTATGAAGGCTTCACATTTAATAATTTTTAGGATCCTGGCTTTGAAGGATTGTGGATTGTGCTGTAAAGGTGACAAATATTTTGTATTCATATATAAAGCAGAAAACGGAAGTTTGAATTTTTTTCATTTAACTCAAAGGAAAGTGGAACCATAATGGTCACTTCATGGTTACACAAGAGAGAATAATTTTGCTGTAAGATGGTAAAAGTTAACAACTGCCTGGCAATATGATTTGAATTGGTTTAACTTGCATTACAAATCTCCAAAAATCCAAGAAAAGAAGTAAGGTTTGATGACTTTGCAAAAAGAAAGAAAACTTCAAATTCAAACCGAGACCTAAGTTCAACTGGACCAGCTACCAAATTGACGGGGTCTCAGCTGACAGCAACATGATACTATCACCAAAAATCAAAAACAAACTGTGAAGGGAGTGACCTCATTTTCCACCCCTTTTGGTTCACAAGCTTTGTACCTTTCTGGCCTGCAATATTCCTAAACAAAAGACTGTTTGTTTCATTTATTTATCCTACATGTGAATGAACATGTATATGTTAGGAACTAAAGGAAATATAGTTTATATTTGAATTGGTAATTAACAATCTGTTTTGCCAGATGTTAGAGGATATGTTTATTACAATGAATAGGTTTTGGTTTTTCTTGCTTATTGATGAAATCTGATGTAAGTTTGCTTTGTCTTAGGGAGTGCTCACAATAGGTCATTAGAGCCATCCTAGAGATAAACTGGCCAAATTTCACATTTGTAATGACAAATACTGGAATAGTGGAGCTTGATTTCCACTGCACTATTCCCACCAGTACAGTTGGTTCTGCTATAACGCATGTTCCAGCAATGCAAATTGGCGATAATGTGACTGATGAATAGGGGAACGCTATTTCTGTAACGCAACTCCATCAGTGTGCGGAGGAGTGCGCATTGACATCACATGGTTGTTTTGCGGGCTTTATCCGAGCATGTACAATGTTAAAAAGTCTGTGCACCGCCATCACATGATCATTTCTCAAACGTTGTCCTGAAGTGTTTTCTGTGAGAGGTACAGTACCCTGTGATTTTCGGGTATTTTTGCAAATTCTATTGTGTTACCCACAAAAATGTGAGGACAAAATGACAAGAATGTTAGCTAGAAGCTCCCTGGTGATATAATTGTGGGTGTTGAACGTAAAAGAAAGGCTATAACACAGGAAGAAAAGCTAGATGTTATAAAGCATTTTGAGTGTAATGGGAGAACGTGATGTAATTTGTGTGACAGGAATAAAGGACTCTACCTTACGCATCATTAGAGACAATGCAGAAAAGATTAAAGCAAGCTGTATTGCCGGAACAAGTTTGAGTGCTAGCAATCTATGAGGTCACCGACAAAGGAACGTGAGGAGATGGACCGGCTTCTAAGTGCGTGGGTAGAAGATCAAACAAAAAAGCGATCTGGGACCACCTTTCTCACCATAAAAGAGAAAGCCTTATCAATTTATGAAGCTCTAACAAAAAAAGAGCTGAAAATCCTGCAGGTGTGCCTGCTTTTCGTGCTGGCAGTGGCTGGTTTGCTGGTTTGAAGAACCGCTACGCTTTTTGTAAGGTAAAGTTATGTGGTGAAGCTGCCAGCGCAGGCAAGGAGCATGTGATAGCATTTCCTCCCAAAGTAAAAAAATTAATTGACGAACAAGGCTACAACTTAGAACAAATTTTCAGTCTGAATGAGACAGGTTTATAAAGGCAGTGAATGCCATCAAGAACCTGCATTTCTATGAATTAAGGACATGCTTCAGGCTTTAAGATGACAAGGGATCATACGACTCTGCTGCTGGGTGCCAACGCCAATGGAGACTTAAAACTTAAGCCTGTGGTGGTGTAACATTCTGCCAACCCGCGAGTCTTCGAAGGTTACCTTAAGTCTACTCTAAGCATCTACTTTAGGTCAAGCAAAAGAGGTTTGATGACGGGACAAATTTTTTCTGACCTTATTGTTAATGTTTTGGAAGATGTTTTCAGAAAGCATTGCAGGGAAAAATACTTGGATGTCAAGATTCTTATCCTGCATAATGTGCCAAGCTATCCTCCCAACATTGGTGAGCTTTCTGAAAACATCAAAGTGCTATTTCCGCCCCCAAACACAACCTCTCTCCTTCAACCATGGACCAAGGTGCAATAGCAGCTTTTAAAGCTTATTATTTAAGGAACATATTTAAGAGGCTGATTGCAGCCACTGAGGGGGATAAGGACAGTGTTCTTCAATTTTGGAAGCGCTTTAACATCAAGAATGCAGTTGACATTATCTTGCAGCCCTGGGGTGATGTCAGTAAGGACTGCTTGCATGCAGTTTCGCAGAAGCTTCTCCCAGATTATTTTCAAGATTTTAAAGGCTTTGATCTGTCAGATGAGCTCCCAAGAATCAAAGAACATTGTATTGATCTTGCAAAGCAAGTTGGATTTGAAGAAGTGGAGAGTGAGGATGTTGAAGAGCTGCTTGAGTCCCACTGTGAAGACCTCTTTACAGCTGATCTACAACAACTTGTCGCTGAGGGGGAATTGGAAGCTGGAGGTGAAGAAAGTGAACTCCAGGATGCAGCACCACGAGAGCTTTTTACTTCTGTTTTGTCTTCTATCCTGAGGGAAATTGAGAAGCAGTTGCAGCTCTTAGAGGACAATGATTACAATGCAGAATGCAGCAGCGTAGCAGTTCATGGATAAAATCTTACTTGGCACACTGTGAACAGCTTCTTCATGAAAGAAGAAAAAGGGCAAAGCAGCAAAAATTGGATGTCTGTTTTAAGCCAACCCCCAAGAAACAGTGAAAAGGCAATGAACCACAGCCATCCGTTCCTGGATTAACTATTTCTCGCCCTAACCCTGCAACCACAACTGCACCTAAAGGTGATGTTGATGATGACAATGACCCTCACCCCCAACCTCAAATCCTTCTCCACCATCAAGTCACATTGACATTTTTTTCAGGGTAAGGTGTTACATTTACTTTTACTTCATTATTAGAAATGAATTAAACATTTATTCAAACTGTTTTATCCTTTGTGTTAGGCTTTTGAGTGATTTTTGAGCCATTTTGAGTGATATTTTTTGGTGGTCTGCCCCTAACCCCACTTTTCCCATAGGCCCCGTTATTTCTATAGCACAATTTTCTACAATGCGATGTTGCACAGGAACGCAACCATCATGTTATAGCAGAACTGACTGTATAGTGACACTGCATTTTATTTTTAAAGAAACCACTGAGAGGACACTGGAACAATTGTTTTAAACAAGGAATTTCTTGGTAGTCACATAGTTTGTGATAACTCTTTGTTTGCTGGAGACCACCAGCCTGTGTGTTTGAGTGTTAGACTCCAGTTTCTGCTTTGGAGATTGTTTGGAGTAGTTTCTGACCAGCCTGCTGAGGAAAAGAGCTCACCAACACAGCTCTCCTGTTTCTGACAACAAATTCTAATGTGAAGCCTGATTACTCTCTTGAAGAACGTCTGGAAATATCCTCAATACAGTGTATGTAAAGATTCCAGAGACAACTGCCAACACTTGGTGACACCCATCTACAAAAGCTAGAACACCAGATCAACAGTAAACATTGCAACCCTTATCCTTCAGCCTTCCAGAACTAACCATCATTGACTGAAAGTGTTTTTTTTCCCCAAATGGATCTCTCCAGGGAGGGGGACGAAGGGGGTGTGTGGGGGGGAGGGTGGTGTGGGGGGTGAGAGAGAGAGAGAGAGAGAGATCCATTTTCCTCATGTTCCCGGTGTGAATGAGTGCAACTTTGTGCGTGCATGCATTTTCAAATTGTATTAACCAGCTTTATCACTTTGGCAAATAAAACTCGCTTTCGCAATAAATCGATAATTTTGTTGTTTATTCAAAAAAACTGGTTGATGGATCTTTTTATTTTGAATTCAATATAGAAAAAAAAATCTGAGTAACCATGTCAGAAACTGGGTAAAACAGTTAAAATGCAGTAATGGGACAAGGAAGTGATAGATTGCGGACCTTCAGCTTCGGGCTTGCCTTGGAAACTAGTTCTGTCTGTGCAGAATTAGGGATTATACCAAGGTAGATAGGTCAGGCTGAAGTCCTAACCCTGTGCTGTATTCTGAGATTATTTGACGGAACAGCTTTACCCTATATCTAACTCTATGCTGTCCCTGTCCAGGGAGTGTTTGATGGGACAGTGTAGAGGGAGACTGTATTTAACCCCATCCTGTCCCTACCCTGGAATGTTTGGTACAGACAGGGTGACGTTAGTAATTGTCTAAAGGATGGCTGCACTGCTCTTGCTTCAAGTACTTCTCATGGTTATGTGCTGTTTCCCCCCTCCTATTCCTTTTGCAGCCCTGCCAGGGAACTCAGTTGGATTTTATGGCTACACAGTGTTCTGACACCAATTCTCAGCCTCTCTACCAATCCTCCAGTGTTCCAGTTTACTACAAGTGGTTGCCTGCCCTTGGCTATGCAAAAGGTAAAATCTGAATGAATTATGTAACATTAATATTAGATACTTGTTTGGGTGAAATGCTGATAGGAGGCCATTTGGTCTTTCTTTGTAACTTGTTCTTTGAAAAAGTTGTCTGTATCTCTTTCTGTTTCCCCATAGCCTTGCAAATTTCTCATTTCAAACATTTATTTAATTATATTTTAAAAGAAGTTCCTATTGAATCTGCTTCAACTCCTTCCTCTGACAGTGCATTGCAAATCACAACTGGTTCTTAAAAATGTTCCTCTCCACTTCCCCTCTATTATTTAATCTGTGCCATCTGTAACCACCCTGGTACAATAACACCTTGGTCTGATCACTGTTGTTGGGAAGGAATAGTTCTGTACCTGTATTATTGTTTGATAACCTCCTGTTGTACATACTCTCATCATGCTGATTAAGCTGCTGTTGGATATTGATGCTGTTCTGTTTGCCTGTTCCCAGGTAATGTGCTGTGTAAGCACTTGTGTCGAGCAGAAGGAAAAAGTTTCATGGTGAGCCGAGGGGACAGTTTTGTGGATGGGACCAGGTGTGAGATAAGTGATCCAGAGACAGCACCATCGTATAAACTGTGTGTCACAGGACGTTGTAGGGTAAATACTGAGCACCAGTTTAATCCCTCAACATTGCTGTGAGACCCTCATGTGACACTTAGCTTGTGCCCAGCATCTCACTCTCAGCCCCTCACCCCCAGTGTCCCTCACCTCCAGTGTCCCTCATTCCCAGTACTGCTAACTACCTGTGCCCCTCACTTCCAGCCTCCCTTACACACTATCCTTGTGTCCAACCTTTCTCATTCTATGTCCCTCACTCTCCATGCCCCTTACTCTCTGTGCCTCACATCTACCATCTCTCATGCATTGGTTTTGATTCCCAATGTCTTGCCTTCTGTGTCCCTCCCTCTGTATTTTAGAATCTTTGATTTGATTTGCTTTCATTTATTATTGTCACATACTGAGATACAGTGAAAAGTATTGTTTTGCATGCTATTCTGACAAATCATACCTTGCATAAAACATCAGGGTAAGCGAACAGAATGCAGAATATAGTGTTACAGCTATGGAGATGGTGCAGAGAAAGATGAACTCTAATATATGAGAGATCCATTCATAACACTGATAACAGTGGGAAAGAAGCTGTTCTTAAATCTGTTGGTACGTATTTTCAAACTTTTGAATCGTCTGCCCAACCGAAGAGGGTGGAAGAGATTATAATCAGAGTGTCAGGGCTCTTTGATAACGTTGGCTGCTTTCTCAAGGCAGCAGCAAATATAGACAGAGTCAATGGAAGAAAGTTGTGGTTGACTGGGCTATGTTCACGACTTTCTGTCACTTCTTGTGGCCTTGGGCAGAGCAGTTGCCAAGCCAAGCTATGATGCATCCATTTCTGTGGTGCATCTATAAAAATTGGTAAGAGTCATTGTGGACATGCCGCAGTTGCATTGAAGTCCATGATTTTATTTCTTGTGTTACTGATTCTGTTGTACATGGTCATTTTGCAGATATTTGGCTGTGATGGAAAGTTGGATTCTGGCCAGATACTGGACAATTGTCGGGTGTGTGGAGGCAATAATTCCAGCTGCCGAGAACTAGTCGGCTCCTACAAGAAGGGTATCCCCAGAGGTAACCAGCACTGACAAGACCATTGTAAAAAACTGGCCAGAATTATCGCTTCTTATTCTGTTCCATTACCTCCCAGGGTAGGAGGACAGAGAATTGTCACAACCTGAAACCTCACACCAAGATTTTTCTTCATTCATGGGACGTGCGTGTCACTGACTAAGTCAATATTTATTGTCCATCCTTAATTTCTCTTGGAAAGGTGACAGTGAGCTGCCTTCTTAACCCACTGAAGTCCTAGGGGTATAGAGGTATAGTGCTGTTAGTGAGAGAGTTTCAGGATTTTGACCCAGTCTTAGGCTAAATTTCCAATTTCAGATCTTGAGTTGCAACATACATCCCAGTCCTATCCTATTCTTGTCCAAAATCCATACACACACCTTCAAGCAGGAGCCAGCAGATGGGGATGGAGGAGGAACTAAAGCAGGTCATTCGGCTAATTGAGCTTTTTCCATCAATCCATTTTGACCCTGGCTGATCTGTGCTTCAGCTCCATTAGTCCATCTTACTTCTGTAAACCTGAATGCCCTTGCCAAACAAGAATCTATCAATCCCAGATTTCAAAGTTTTGGTTGAACCGAGTCTCTGCAGCTTTTGTAGAGAGGGAGTTCCAGACTTTTACTCCCCCAGTGTTTTCTGACATCATTCCTGAACGGTCTGGCTCAAGTTTTAAGGTTCTGCTCCTGTTCTAGACTCCTCCGTGCCCATCCTTGCCCCAAACCAGAGGAAACAGTTTATTTCCAGCTACCTGGTTGAACCCTTTAATCATCTTAAACACCTCAATTACATTACCCTGAAATCTCTATTCTCTACAATCTGTTGTCATAATCACTATCCCTTCTCGAAGAGATCAGCTTTGGAGTTGGAGCATTACAGCATCAGAAGTAGTTTCCTTCACCCCTTGAGCCTGTTACCTACTCAATCCCCACATCCTTCGATTTCCTTAGTGCTCAAAAATCTGTTGATTTGATCCTGCTTTGAACATGCTCAATGACTGTGTGTCCACAGCCATTTAGGGTGGAGAATTTTAGATTTCCAATCTTCCGAACTAAACAGTTTCTCTCCACTTCAGTTGTAATGACCATCCTGTCACACTGTCCCCATGCCCTAGACTCTCTAACCTGGGCAAACACCATCTCAACATCTATCCCCATCTACCTCAAAGAATTCAAGATATTTCAACGAGATCATCTCTCATTCTTCTAACCTTCCAAGAATATGAATGCATTCCATCACCAATTAGCTTCTCTCCTCTCTGTCTTCAGTTACACAAGGATGGGGCTACGAGATCTGAATGAAATGTTGGGAGCTGAGTTTAATTGGGGTTTAACTGAGGGCTCGGTGGGGAAGAGTGTATTTTTCATTTCTGCTCCCTTCAGTGAGTGCACCTCAATAAATGATGATGCTTTTCTTTTGAATTACAGCTTATGTCACTTTTCTCACAGTCCCACCTCGGTCTACAAGTGTTCGAGTCTCCAACACCCAGGCTGTGTTCTCCCATCTTGGTAAGGAAACCAGAATGTTCAGTTTGACAGGATTTAAAAAGGAGACCTTTCTGTGAGACCCTACACCCAGCTTTGATCAGGAATGATCAGGACCAGAACCAGAAAAAGGGTTTCATTAGATCACATTAGTGGATCGGGAAGGCATTGGCCTATTAGTTTTTTTTTATTCATGGGATGGGGCTGTCAATGGCCAGGCCAGCATTTATTGCCCTATCCCTAATTCCCCAAAGGGCAGTTAACGGTCAACCACATTGCTGTGGGTCTGGAGTGATGTAGGCCAGACCAGGTAAGGATGGCAGTTTCCTTCCCTAAAGGACATTAGTGAACTGGATGGGTTTTTCCAACAATGAACAATGGATTTGTGGTCACCAGTAGACTCTCAATTCCAGATTTTTTTAAATTGAATTCAAATTCCACTATTTGCTGTGGTAGAATTCAAACTTGGGTCCCCAAAACATTAGCTGAGTTTCCTGGATTAATTGTTCGGATTAATAGTTTCCCCTCATCCAAGTCATTGATGTAAACTGTAAAACGTTAAGGTCCAGAACCCTGCAGGACCCCACTTGTCACATCCTGCCAATCAGACAAAGACCCATTTATATATCCTCTCTGTTTTCTGCCAGCCAGCCAGTCTTCTATCCATGCTGGGATTTACCATCTGTACCATGAGCTCCTACCTTGCACAATAACTTTTATGTGGAACATTGTCAAATGTCTTCTGGAAATCCACGTACAGGATATCAATGGGCTCCCCTTTATCCACAGTGCATGATACTCCTTCAAAGGATTCTAATCCTGGAGATACCACATTTCTAGTAATAATAATTTCTCCAAGTTGCTCTCTTCCTTAAACGTCCAGTGTTACTCTAGTATTATTTTGATTATTTTTGTTGGCACTCTCTGTGGTGAAGATAGAAGGAAAATAATTATCCATAACGTCTGCCATTTCTCTATTATCTACTATTCATTCCCCATTCTCAACCCCTCTATAGGTACAACCCTCGTTTTAATTAATCCTTTCCTTTTTAGATTCCAATAGAAACTCTTGTTATTTGTTTTTGCGTTTCTAGCTGGCTTCCTCTCATGGTGTAATTTATTAGCCCTGATTAATCTTTCAGTTATTACCTGTTGGTCTTTGTCTTCTGACCTGCCACTCACATTTGCACAGTGACATGCTATTTCCTTAAGCTTGATGCTCTTCTTATCTTGTTTAATAAATGGATTGTGGGATCTCCCCTCAGAATTTTTCACTAAAGAAAGTTGTTGGAGCTATGGGCTGACAAGTGCCTGGCTGCTGATGGATTTCATCCGGAGATCTTAAATAAATGGCTAGTGAGCTAGTGCCTATAATTTTCCAAACTGCCTTGATTCGGAACTGTCCCTTTAGATTGGAAGATAGCAAATGTAACTCCTTTATTGAAAAAGGGAGGGAGCCAGAAAGGAGAAAACTCCAGGCCAGTTAGTTTAACACCTGTCACAGGGAAAATGTTTGAAACTATTTTTATGACGTTACAGCACGACACTTGGACACATTCAGGGTAATCAACAGGACTTGCTTGTTAAGTTAATGATAAGGTTCGGAGGGCATTAAGAGGGTGGATGTTGAGAGGATGTTTGTTGTTAAGGGAGAATCCAGACTAAGGGTCACTGTTTAAAATTGACAGTTGTACATTTAAAACAGAGATGAGTTGATTTTCTTTGGTTTTCTTTTTCCCCCTGTGAGTTTTTGGGAATTATCGTCCTGATAAAGGTCATGGAAACAGAGTCCTCGAATATTTTTAAGGCCGAGACTCTTCTTAAACAAAGGTGTGAAAGAATGCATCAGTTCCCTTTGGATGTTTTTTGTTTCCCTTTGGGGCGGCACGGTGGCTCAGTGGTTAGCAGTGCTGCCTCACAGCGCCAGGGACCTGGGTTCAATTCCACCCTCGGGCGACTGTCTGTGTGGAGTTTGCGTATTCTCCCTGTGTCTGCACGGGTTTCCCCCGGGTACTCTGGTTTCCTCCCACAGTCCAAAGATGTGCAGTTTAGGTGGATTGGCTATGCTAAATTGCCCATAGTGTTCAGGGGTCTGTAGGTTAGGTGGGTTATAGTGGGATGGGTCTGGGTGGGATGCTTCAAGGGTCAGTGTGGACTTGTTAGTCCGAAGGGTCTGTTTCCACACTGGAGGGATTCTATGATGTTTCAGTTCCATCTTCTCTTTGGATAAAGAAGTATCTCTAAATTCCCAATTAGATTGATGAGTGACAGTATTATATTGGTGGCCAGCTTTGGATGTTGAAACATCTCTGGATCTTGCACATCAAAGCACTTCACCAACAGGTTACCCCTCAGCCTTCTCCTTTCCACTCTGCACTTCCCGGGAAGCATATTCTCTCAGCTGTAATAACATCCTTGTGAATCTTATGTGCACCTTCTTCAGTATTTCAATATCCTTTTCATAACGTGGAGATCTGAAGAAGATTAAAGCCTGCACCTCCCCCTACAACACTGATGTGCAGAGTGAACCGAGGGTATCTAAGCAACAGGAGGAGGGTATCATTATGGAATGTCCCGGACCATAGCTGGCCATAAATCTAACTGAGAGCCTGGCAGCTTGGGACAGGACCCTTGTCACTGGCAATTTAAAACCACAGTTGGTCATATCGAGTAGAAACAGAGTGGGTAAAACTTGCTCCTCTCTATCTCCATAACTACCTGCAGCTCCTCAAACCTCTGACCTGTCTGTGCTCCTCCAGTTCAGGACCTTGAACTTCCCTGATTTCTATCACCCCTCGTTGATGACTGTGCCGCAGTTGACTGAGCTCCAAACTCTGCAATTCTCTCCTTAAACCTCTCGACCTTTCAACCTCTGAATCCTCCTTTCAAACAACCTTAACGCCTAGCTCTTTAAACAAGCTTGGGTCACCTGTCCCAACAATTCTTGTTGTGGCTTTTTTAGAATTTATTCATGGAATGTGAGGGTTTCTGGCAAGACCAGCTTTTATCACTAATCGCCGTTGAGAGGGTGGGGTGGTGAGCCACATTCCTAAAGAGAACCGAAAGGCCTGCTCAGCTATTTCAGAGGGCTGTGAGGAGTCAACCACATTGCTGTGGGCCTGGAGTCATGTGTAGGCCAGGCTGGGTTACAACAGCAGAATTCCTTTTCCAAAAGGAGCCAGATCTGGATTCTGTGACAATTTGGTAGTTTTAGGCTGGCCCTCACTGAAGAAATTTGTGTTTTCCCAATTTATTTAATTAATGGAACTTGATGTCCCCAACACGATGGGACCTGAGCTCATGTTCCAACTTGAACAATTGAATTCCTAATGAATCCAGGCCTCTGGATTCCATGTTCAGTAACATAATCACTTTGTAGATATCAAGTTTAATCTCTCTATGAAAAGATTTGGGATATTGAAGGTACTCTATGAATACAAATTGTTATGGTCGTTGTTACAGGGGTTAAGATTAAAGGTCAGTACATTGTGGCCGGGACCCAGAAAATTTCACTCAATGTCTCGTACCCGAGCAGCCTGGAGGACAACAAGATCGAGTACCGGCTGTACCTGACACAACAGAAACTACCGGACACAGAGGAGATTGTCATTGATGGACCCACCAGTGACACCATTGAAATACAGGTGGGAAGGAGAGAAAAGCCTATCATCAGAGGGGACCTGAGGAAAACCTTCCCTCTGGAGGGTAGGGGTCGGGGGTGGGGTGTGTGGTCTCTGGAATTGACCGCTATGTTTGGTGGTTCAGGCAGAAACCCTTGATTCATTGAAAAGGAACCTGGATCTGCTCCTGAAACACTGAAACCTGCAAGGTCACGGTCCGGGGGCTGGGAAATGGGATTAGAATAGGGACTAGTTTATTCAGCTGGCAAAGGTACGATGGGCTGAATAGCCTCTTTCTGTGCTGTGGAACATTTTATCGTTCGATTAACAATTGCTGCTACCATGTCTTTCTAATGCGATATTTGAGAAATGACTAATTACAAAGAATGTAACAGGTTATTTGGCTTTATTTGTCGGAGGGTCAGTGCTGAGGGAGCACCGCACTGTCGGAGGGTCAGTGCTGAGGGAGTGCAGCACTGTCGGAGGGTCAGTGCTGAGGGAGTGCCGCACTGTCGGAGGGTCAGTGTTGAGGGAATGCCGCACTGTCGGAGGGTCAGTGCTGAGGGAGTGCCGAACTGTCGGAGGGTCAGTGCTGAGGGAGCGCCGCACTGTCGGAGGGTTAGTGTTGAGGGAG